AGTTTTAAAATATCAAATTCTATCTATCTTTTTTTTTTTTTTTTGCATACATAAAATTCAACTTTAAAGCACTGAATTATACAAAATCTATAAAGGTATGGTTGAATTTGCCACTGAAAAAGAAAGAGAGGACAGGATTGAACTAATTAGGACTAGCACACTAGCACTTGAATTGTAGTAAATGACGTACCTAATCATTCCAGTAGTCATTACTTATAGCGATGACGTTAACGTGATTTCTAACATTTAATTAATTAATCCTATTCTATTAATAGGGGACTTTTCGTATATGTACTAGTTTTAAACTTATTTATCCGAGTTATTTAATTTTTTATTTACTAAAGTTTTTTCACAAAATATATGCAAAATATTACACTTGAATATAATTTTTATTTTATTTGCAAAATTTATGCAAAATATTACACAAAATATATGCAAAATCTGCTCCAAAACTATAATTTACATACAATTTGTACACAATTATGTTAGTTGTATATATTTTGTATGTCATTTCTACACCCGAAATATAAAATATATAAAATTTGTTTGTCTTTTTCTTCGAGTTTCAATCTGAAATTTTAACCAAAATCATTTTGAGTCTTCACCAAATTCTCTTAAAATTGAGATATAAACTCCAAAGAATATTTTCAATTATTTGCAACAACACCTAATCCAAACAAATAACAATTTCGCAAAATACGATTTTCAAATTCAAACTTTTGAAGCTTCTTAACGGTTGTCAATAGAATTTTTAATGGATTAATATCGATATACGTAACTAGTGATAAGTCTGTCAATTTGATTTTCAGTGGCATAATTGGTTACATGCTTTGCTCTACCGAGGGACCAGAAATTGACTTCAAGAATCCTCTGAACTCTATCGACAAAGATACTATCTTTGTCAAGTCCAAGGGACCTTTGAAGTTCTATAATTCTCCTCGCGGGGTTTTTTCGTATAGGGAATTTGGGCGAGGAAGAAGAGGGAAAGAAAATAGGGAAGATTGGATTTTAAAACAATAATTTATATATGACTGGTAAATTGTATATCAATTTGTTAAAACTTTAATATTGAGGGAAATAAATTTGAAAAAGAGTATAGATAGTTAAAAGTTTACGGGAAGAAGTAATTGTTTGAGTAAATAAATGCTAAACCAATTAGTAATAAGTTAATGGAGTGAATCTCAGTTGAACTTAATAAATCCTAGATCAAATAGAACAAAACTCTCGTATAACGAGTAGAGTTTAGGAGCATTAAAAAGTGAACTTAATATACTATGATTGACGAAATATGTAATATCATAAATATGTAGTAAATGCAAGAAATGATAAGGGTTATAGTGTAAAACAATTGTCACCCAATGATTGTGTGATTGGGTATTTCCTTTCTCTAACGACGTGCAAAAGTAAGCAGTCAATATGTGTATGAGATCTTGAGATTTATGAATAAAGGTTGAACAACATGTGCTTGAATAAAATGAATAAGACAACTCTTTCGTATATTATTTTCTCAACTTAACAATATCTCTTAGTTCTCAAAAAGGCAGATCACTCCTTTTCTTCCCTATCTTTTCTATTTATGAGGGACATTCCCCAAAAAATCCTAAAAAGTACAACATAAAGAATATCTAATAGAATATTCTTTATGCTTACTTCTGAATTTAAGTTACCGTTACTGTCATATCTTAGTTGCCTGCTTCTAGCATCGGCCTTTATGAGGACGACCTTCAGTCGTTATGTCATGGTCGACCCCGTCTTTTGTCTTGCTAATCCCTTGTCGTGGTTACCAAATTTGGACCTATACAGTTAGTCCCTCCGCTTATTGATGTCGTAGCTCCGCACGTCCTCGATAAGCAAACATCAATCGTTTTCTCGTAGGAGAATTTCGCTATTAAATCATGCCGGGTCGACTAAGATCGAGAGAACGATACAACCTGCGGGAACCTGATAGATATGGTTGCCAAGATGTGACGTCACTGCCACGTGCGTCATCATTGCGCATCTTTCGGAGATAGCGTCTGCGTGCTTGTCGCTTCGATTTTAGTGTCATTGACAATCATTTGCTTCGATTCTTGTGCCATCCCGCCCTATAAATAGGTGAGGGTTTCGTTTCTTGAGAAACTTCTGCCATTTCCTTTCTTGCATATACATTATTTTCCTTTGATCATCTTTATCATTTCTTGTTATCAGCTCTGTTTCTGCGATTCCCTTTCTCATCTTCCTATTTAGTCATCGTCTTTCTCTTTAGGTTTAATAGCCCACCTTCCGTTATCGAGATGTCCCGAACCTCTCCCGTACA